CCTAAGACTGATTAATTACCCCCGGTATTAAATAAGTTGTTGTGAATGAAAATAAGTGTGGTGACCATCATTTGGCATAGCATACCTGGGCCCGGTGTTAAAGGCCGGTTACACTTGCATTGAAACAAATAAAGTAATGACATTTTAATACCATAATAATATTGCATTTATTTAATTTCTAAAATTGAACATTAAACTGGTTCTTTAAAAAGGTTAACATAAATGCAATGGTAAATACATATTTTTTAAAGCCAACTTCTCAAGACACTGAAGTATGTAAATAAGGAGACACATGTAATAACAATCATATCAGATTTAAATACAGTCTAAGAACAATGTATGTAAACTGAATAATTGTACGGCACATAAGCATGCATCTCTTTATAATACAGCCATTCCAAGGCGTTAGGTTTATACATTTGAGTGATTAGTTTAAAATGTTTGAACACAACTATTAGTTCCTTACTGTAGAATACTTCAATAACAGGATGAATTTATGTTAACAATTAACGGGTTACCACTGAAGGAGTAAATTGGTAAAAATAAAATCCAGTTATAACAAGATTTCCTCTATGAATTGCATGCATTTATAAGAAAACAGTGGAATACATGGACAAGTGTCCACCCAATGTGGTTTTCAGTGAAATGCATTGACATGTGTCTACCCAATGTGGTTTTCAGTGAAATGCATTGATATGTGTCTACCCAATGTGGTTTTCAGTGAAATGCATTGACATGTGTCCACCCAATGTGGTTTTCAGTGAAATGCATTGACATGTGTCCACCCAATGTGGTTGTCAGTGAAATGCATTGACATGTGTCTACCCAATGTGGTTTTCAGTGAAATACATTGATATGTGTCTACCCAATGTGGTTTTCAGTGAAATACATTGATATGTGTCGCCCAATGTGGTTCTCGGTGAAATATTTAATGTTTTTGTGAAAGATGAAAAATTTTGATGTTGGCATTCAAAGTAGTAATATCAGACTACTAGGATACCAGCCATCCCCAGGATGTAGATTTGAGTCACCAGTACAAAGGGAAAACTCAGTAGCACCATTTTCTAAGGTACACTTAAATTGTAATTAACATGTAATATAATAAAAACAGTTCAGCTACCTTTATAGAACTAATGCATCAAAAAACAGCCACAATACGGTCACATACTTAGTAGTGGTTTACAACTTTTAAGTAAATTTTATTTTCCTGAAACTCAACTGCTTTAATTTCTTCTGTTTTTGGTAAAATGAAATTCATCCACAAAAAAAATTGGAGAATTTTTCATGAAATGAAATCTGCAACATAGAAGTTGAAAATATGATTTTTCATTATTTATCACATTTAACAAATGGACTATTGTAAAATAAAGGGTTAATGTTGAGATAGAAGGTGGGGGTCAAACTTTACACAGGAGGTGAAGGGTCAAACACTTTATAACTCTTGTATAGACTAAATAAATTTTATTATACTTGACTACTTATCGCTGTCATGGAGATGACCTCAATGACCTTGTGATAAGTCACTGTAGTTTACAGATCAATCTCCTATTAACTTTTCTACAGTTGTACACATCGGCTTACGTTGTGCAAAGGTCATGGTGGGTTCATTCTCTGGTTTGTCCTGCAAGACGTTAACGGTCACTTCACAGATTGAGTGCTGGAATCAAAACAAAAAAATACAACTAAATACAGTAAATTGTTGATGTTTCTTTTCAGATGAGGAAACCAACAATTATACACAGATCATGACAGCTTGTAATAATACATTTTAAAAACAACAGCTGGCATCACTACACACTGTACAACAAAACAGACGAACACTGTTTTATACTCAACTTATGATGTATGTATATATTTTTGTTTTGGCATTATTAATATTAAAATAGCAACTTTCTTTGAATGGTATTGCAATAAAAATACAAGTGTGCAATTATTAGCACCAATGAACTAAATCTGTTCAAGATTTGATACTGCTTTCAGGATTGAATGAAAAAATAGAAAAAACATCACCAGGCTATTTTCTATGTGTCATTCTTCTATCATAGCATTAGTTGTATTGATTGATTTATAATACAGGTTCATATAATTGTTGATAAATATCTTGGGTGAGGAAATAAATATTGGTTTGTAGATTTGTTATTGGCTACAATCTAATTTCTACATATGGTATTGACTTTGAATGTCATATGAAAAGAGATGACAGTAGTCAGATACAACCGCTCCAGTGACCAATTCGGATAGATTTCATTATAAAACTAAAAGGAACCATTTCTGGTATACCATGGAGACGAACCAAAATAAGTACATCCCAAGATCAGTTGCAAGCAACTTTTGCATTTCTACCTGTTACTAATACTCGTTACTCGTGTTACTAGTACCAGCAGTACTATTATTGACCACATATATTCCAATATTAATACATGTTGCACACATGTTGGTACCATTACAACTGATGTAACTGACCACTTCCCAATTTATGCTATTTTTGAAAATGTACTTTCTGTTAAGTCGCACAGTACAAAAAAATATTACAGAGAATTTAAAAACTATAAGTCAAACAACTTTAAAAAATGATTTGTCTATTCAATCTTGGGACAGGGTCTACAGACAACTGGGTGTTAACTTGGCCTACAACACATTCTACATCAGTTTTAATGAGATATGTAATAAACATGCACCCATTGTGAGTAAGAATGTAACAATTTGAAGAAGGAAAAGCCTTGGATTACATCAGCAATTAAAAAGTCAATTAAGAAAAAACATAAACTGTATCTCAAAGTTTTAAATAGTAATCACGCCTCTCATGAATTTGCCACCTATAAAATATATCGCAACATGCTTACCAGTGTATGAAGAAAAGCAGAGAAAAATTATTATTCGGATCTATTTACTAAGTATTATAATAATTCTGGTAAAATTTGGAAAATTATCAATGACTTACTTGGTCCCACTGAAAACATAAAACAAACTTTACCAAAAGAACTAAAAATTAATGTTGATAACGCCGATAAAATACTATCCAATCCCACTGACATTGCAGAAGCCTTCAATAACTACTTTGTTAATATTGGACCCAACCTTGCCTCAAATATTAGCAATTCCCCAAACAATTTCGATCACTATCTTAATGACCCCAATGTGAATTCATTCTTCCTTGCACCAATGACAGAACAGGAGGTAGCTTTGACATTAAGCCACCTTGATCAGAACAAATCGTCAGGCTATGACTGTTTACCGGCACGACTTCTTGTAGATGGAGCTGATATAATTTGTAAACCACTTTGTTTTATTTTTAATTTATCATTTTTACAGGAACATTTTTCAAATGCATTAAAAATGGCAAAGATAACGCCC